TTATCAATAACAGCTCTGCAGATCTCTATCCTGTGTCTCAGAATTGCATCACTCCTCACTGCTGGCTCCAGAAAACTCTCCTACAGGTTTGCTGTGAAGGGTTCCCAAATAAAAGAAAAATCCTTTTTTGTCCGAAGCCTCAAATCTCTTTGAAGACTGTCTCCTATCTTACCACCTGCTATGGACCTCAGCTACACCTTAACCTCCTACATCCACCCTAAGAGAACAGGTTTATTTCAGGAAAGTCATAGCACCAGGTGAGCCGGGAGCAGATGGTGGAAATGACATATAATGCCCTTTTCATTTGGATGGGCCTGAAATACCCAACGTGCATGGCCAGGTGATAGGGCAAGTCTCCCCATCCGGGGAAGCACTTGACATCCCAACAGGAACATTGTGACATCAGCGGGGATGGCTGAACTGGAGACCTTGGATTTGGCCACAAATTCTTTCTGACCTTCTGCTGAGCCCAGAAATTGTTGAATCTAGATATGACCATTGTTATCCAATTTTTGCATTGGACAATGAAGAAAATAAGGCTCAGGGAGTTTTAAAATCACTTACCCAGGGTCACACAGCTAGTCTACACAGGGCTGGGAACAGAACCCACATGTCTGCATAGTGATGCTTCGGGGGCTACCTGGCCTGTGTCACCTCCCTTGACATTTGTTTCTTTTGTCCATCATACCGAGGTTCTGAATGGTGCAGAGCAGCTCTGCCATGCCTTTCACAGAAACTATTTATTCCTCAGTTGGTGATTTTGCTTTACTTCTCTCTGCCATGCATGTTGTCAGAATGTCTAGAAAAATCTGACAGCTGGTATTCCATTTAGGGACAACACTTGGGGGATGTGTCTTGAAAGGGCTCACACATAGATTTTGCTGCACTTCTACTCAACTTCCAAATATAATATGATTTCATTGGCAGCGAAATGGAAAATGAATAAGGATGATGAAGCACCATTCTGTAAGGAGCCTTTGAAACACCTGTGCCCAGGTATATGACCCAAGGCGACAAACGAAGAGGCCGGGGCAGGACTTTGTCAGGTAGCCCCGGGTTCAAATCTCACTATTTGACTTTGGACAAATTACTCCACCTTGCTGAGCCTCAGTTTCCTCATTTGTAAACATATTGGAAGCAGTAAGCCAAACTTAATATATAGTAAAATTTGTCAGAAGAACACTTAATAAGGATCCAGTGACAGGCAAATAAATGATTCAACCACAAGACTACTCAATTCCATATATGTCAGCCACTGGAACCAAATAATAAAATATGAATCTGTCTTTCAGTGTCACTGAGTTTGTGTTCTCCAAAAACAAAATGTCTGGTGACTACAAGTGGTCGAACTGAAGCAAAACATCTTAAAACTCTCTTATGCAGCATGGACGGTGAATGGGCATTGTGGGTTGTCACGTAGTCTTGTATCTAACCCATTTTGGTGGATGCTGACCTATTTATTTTTCCAAATAATTAGAACACAAATACTGATAACTAACACCTCAATACATTGAGCACAATTTATCTTAATAAGGGAATTCAAAAAGATCTGAGGGGTTGGGAGTGCCTGAAAGTCCTACTTTTAGCAATATTCTCATTGCACTGGGGACGTATAAGCTGTCGGCCAGTGGGTAATGCCCGAGAGTGCCTGGATTCAGTGGGGTTAAGTGACCTCATGCCCAAGCACCCAGCACAGTGAGTGGCATCTGGTCAAGTGCCTGACTCAATGTGAATGATTTCCCATCTGGAAGCCAGGTGTGAATGAAGGAAAGGTCCTCTTCTGAACCCTTGAGTTAGATTCTTCTGGTCTCTTCCCTGTCTTCCTAGGGGTTTCTGTAGATGACTTCTTTTGGTGCTCCAGGAAAATGGGTTCTACACATGACATGAGCCCCCAATTCAGGAAAGCTTTCCTTATATGTAGCTTGGAATTTCATGCTATTTCCTCTCCTTTCCTTGAGAGAAGATGGAAAAAAAGTAAGAAGATGCTTACTTATGATCACAGAGCCCTCCCTACCATAAAGATAAGCCAGATTAGAAGGTGTGAGGAGCTGCGTGTGTGCGTGTGTGTGTGTATTGTTTGTGTTGACTTAAAAATCAAACAAATAAAATTAAGCCAAAACGAAAACTAAAAGGAGGACAAAAAAACGAAACTTCTCCCCTCAAGGGTGCCACACCCCTTGGGCTCCTGGCCTATTTCTCTCTTCTTTATTCTTCCACTCATGTGGAAGGAATAATCGATATTTCCTGACTTAATCGACAGAATCTGAACACCTTTGTAAAAGTCTCAGACCCAAGAGTCATAAAAGTGAGACGCATAATCACTGACATAAATGATGCTGGTGCATTTGGAACTCTGCTTGTGAATTTCTAAGTGGCTCAGTGTCACACAGGTTGGCCGCAGCAACATTTTCAAACCTTTTCCACACTCCAGAGTCTCACTCTTGACCCCGACTTTGCTGAGCTCAAAGCCATCTGAGGTGTGCTTCTTTAAATTCCGACTCTGCCACAGAACATGTTTCATTGACCATCTCCTCCTTCCTTGCTCAGAGACAGATGGGCCCTTTCATCTTTTTAAGGCAAGACCTTCTGCACATTTAGGTTTTTCTTTCTCATTGATTCCTTCCTCTGACATGAACTAGGGCAGGGTTTCCACTCGCCATGGATCACCTGGTGTAAAGGTGAGCTAATCTGCATGGGTACATACTTGCTGCAGCAAAACCCCAATAAGAGGAGGAGGAAAGAGCTTCCCAGGAGGGAGCAGCAAGAGTGGAGGTGGCCTGAGTCTGGGCGACATGTCCTGCCTGGCTCCTTCCCTCTCGTTGGTCAGTTGGGGTTACGAAGAAGATTAGATTTGAAGAGAAAAGTATTCTGTTGCTTGAAAGAAAGAAAGGAAACCACCTTGCCCCTTCAGAGTTAGATGCTGGATTTACTAAGACTTGAGATGGTGGAAGCTGACTGGGTGGGTAGGGGATTCGAGATGTCAGCGAGGGTGTCCCTGAAGTGGCTAGACAGGGCATGCAGCCTGGGCTAAGGCAAGACAGAGAGGAAGGAGTTGACAGCTTGGGGGACAGAGAGGCTCCAAAGGGCTTGGGACTGAGAGGAGAGTGAGGAGATAGAGGAGGTACAGGCAGTGCAACTGTGCACTCAGACGGCGGGAGAAGAAGGGAGAGTTTCAACAAGCCAACAAAGCCTGTTTGTGGGCAGCAGGCATGACAGAAAGATGGAAGAGAGGAGGCCAAGGTTGGCCGCAGGGACTCAGATGGACTCTTTCAGTTCTACAGCACCAAGGGTGAACTCAGTGCCTGTGTGCCCATCTCTTCCTAGACCCCTTTGCCCAAAATACAATCAGGGACGCCCTTTCCCAAACATGGAGAGGGCTGTGGGCATTAACTTTATGCACCAGTGATTTTGATCATTTCAGAGATTGGAAAAATCTTAAACTCAAACACAAACCAATGAGCTTGCACTGGGGGCCAAAGCACTGACATAATATTAAACACAAAACTCTTTGACATGAAAATATGCAAAAGGGATTATGAAATCAAGGCCACAGAGGTCATTCAAGAAAGCAATGTGCTAATTACAAATAATTCTGTTAGTAAATAAGATAATGAATTTTAAAACATTTGGCATAGTGCCTGGCACTTATCAGTTACCCCCTCCCCCCCCGGAAACGGTAGCTGTTGCCAGTGTTATATGTACTGATCATTAAAGCAGGCCCAGTAAGACTTCTATTTGGAAACCCCTTTGTTAGTGACTTATTTTATTAATGTGTGAGCTTTTGAGTAATAAAAGACATTGCTTAGAGTTCGGGTTCACTTCCCAGTGCAGGCTGACCTTTCTCAAATTACTAAGACTTGTGACATTTCTCTGAACAAAACACTGATCCACAAACAAAGGCTCTTGTGGAAAACGAGATGCCTGGAAATACTCTCCCCACCTGTGTCAAGACTGGCCGCTGACAGTGGGGGGCTGGAGCCCCGCGTGCTTCCATTGTGTGAGCACAGAGGCTGTCAGCTAGGAATGAGGAGGAACTGGGAGTCCAGGCCTGCGGTCCTCCCAAGCTTTAGTCCAGTCCCTGCCCTCCTCACCCCTACTCACCCTCTCAATCCTCCCGCCTGTCCGGCTGGAAATGGCATTGGCTGTGATGGTCCGGCCCTGTGTGGTCTGTGTGGTTCCAACTCCAAATACAGTCATTGATGCCACAGCCCGGGTCACAAGAAGGGAGACCGTGGCAGCTTCTGGACTGCAACTGGGTTTTGTTTGCCGTACATAGCACTTTTGAAAATTTTAACTTTGAACACGTTTACAAGGGGCATTGATCCCAAGTTTAGCCCAGTCGCCACTACTCCCTATTTTCCTGGCTTGAGTTAATGTAGTTTGTCACCTCAGAGTGTAAGCCATCTCCCGTTTCCTCTTGTCGTGGCTGTTCATCTTCGCATGCTGATGCAGCAGGGCAGGCCCGGCAGGGCCAGGGAGCCCAGGTCTGAATGAACCTCTGTGGCCGTGTGGACTAGCTCAGCCAGAGCTGCCTCCCTGCTGTGTTCTTGGCCAGCTCTCACGTGGCAGCTCCAAGACCAGGGGACCAAATGCCATGCTGGCGTCTACATGACAGCTTACCAACTGTATACATTGACTTGTTCAAATGTTCAGGAAAAAAAAAAGAGAAAAAAATAGCTTGGCCTCTGTAAGAAATCTCAGCATTGAACAAGTTAAAAATTGTTGGTAGCCTGCTATTCTGTTTTAATGTAATTGAAAAAATTTTCTGTACATCAGTGCTGTGAAAGCAGCTCAGATTCTCAAAGTTGGAAAGAGAGATTAAGTTATTTAGCTTCCCTGGAACTTTCTACTGATTAGGGGATAAGGTAGGCTTTTTTTTTTTTTTTCTTGAGTTTTCTTTCATGAGCCCAAGAAAAATGGCCTCTCGTGGGTCTCTGTTTTTGGTCCCAGGAGAGCCTTCTTTCTTTTGTAACTGCTTGGTTCAGTTCATGCGAGTCCTGTCATGAACATGGCTCTTTTGACCAGCGCATTCACGGAGCATAGCATAGAGGTCATCCATTCCTAAGGATCCTGTGAGATAGGTGTAATTATCCTGATGTTTATAGATGAGGAAACACACTCAGAGAAGATACCCACCTTGACAAGGTCATACGATTAGCCGCTGGACTTGATCCAAGTTTACCGACAGCCTAACCAGGCTCTTTCCACCACCCCACGCAGCCCCCACTAAGTAAAGGCAAACACCACAGAGCCACGTCTAACCACAGACCTGTTGCTGGAGGAAGGACAGGGTTAACAGAGGTCCTGCAAGAATGCAGAGTTTGGGGGGAAAAATGGAAGAAAAGAAGCCTACTGCATTTTTGCAAAAGGGATCTTTTAACCTCAGTCCTGGATTCTTGGCTTCGGTACAAGGCCACTCCAGCCCAGGAGACTGGAAAGACATTTCTCATGCAGGATGTGGAGGCATTGGCCTATCCCAGACCAGGAAGGAAGCAGAAGCAGGGGTACCTACCGCCTTCAAACTCCGTTTGGCAGTTCCCCGAGGTCTCATTCAGGCTCTCTTCCTCATTGATGATGATGTTCTCAATGTCCTTCATTGTTAGGTGGTCCCGGAAGGCATGATAGAGGATGTGCTTCAGCTCTTCCAGAGTGATCCTTTGCATGTCGAACTGTGGAGATAAAGAGGAGTGAGAGGGTCTTGGGCACAAGAGGGTGAGAACTCAGCTTGGGCCACGACTGGCAAGCCCTAACGCCCTAAAGCTGCTCTCCGGAAACTTCTCTCAGCTTTTCAGGACATCACCTGAGCAGCTTTCCATCATGTGCAGCTCCAGGCATACTTGTGAATCTGCGGTGACTTACTGGGAATACAGTGAGTGCAACAGAAATGCCTCCTGCTAGTTTGGTTTCCTACTAACCCAACCATCTGCTGCCACCCTGCATACCGCGCGTGCTTCGGAGTGTGTCACACTTCAGACAATGCGTGCATCTCTAAAAATTTTTTCATCTCCCAAGAAGCCAGCAATTCCTGTCTTGCTTTAAGTATGTATCTTGTTCTAACAAGATAAAAGGCAAGTTCAAAGCCGTATTTATGAGGAAGAGCAGCTGAAGGAGGGGAGTGTAGCATTCCCAGTTACATTCCTCCCATCCTCGTGAGGGGATTAAACTTGCCTGCCCCATTTCTATCAGGTTTGGTCCGGTCACTTTCTTAGCCAATGAAATGTGAGTAAAAGTCACATATGCCACATCCATTTAAAAGCTTTGAGATTCATCGTGTGGTTCTATCACTTGTTCTTTTCCCTCTGCCGTGAGCACAGCCTGCCCGACAGAGGGGCTGCTCCTCTGTCTGGGTTCCAGAATGAGGATAAAGTAGAGAAGATCTGTAGCTATCCCATAGAGGACAAGTAATATGAGTAAGAAGTGCCCTTTGTTGTTATTAGCCATAGAGATTTTGGGCTTGCTTGCTACCACAGCACAACTTGGTTTAAGTCAACAATACAGATATTAATACACAGAAGTGAGAGGCTACCCTAACAAACACTCTAAAATATGCTTTATTGGTTCCAGGGCTAGGCAGTGGGAAATAATAAAACTCTTATTGGAGGCTGGAAAGGCAATGACCCATGTTATGCAGTAGCAAAGCATTTGGTAAAATCGCTGCCTGTGATAACTTGGAGGACAAATTGAATGAGTTTGCAGCTTTAGGTAAAAACTTTGGGAAATAGCATGCTCTGGCTGCAACTGGTTGCATCTGATGGGGTACTATGAGAAAGAGATGAGCTCAGGAAAGAATTGGTTGGTTTGCAAGCCAGGAACAAAGACAATCAGAAATTCCTGGTCTTGCAGGGTTGAATGAAGCAGTTGTTTCTCATGTCTAACTAGGAAGAGATAAATGTGAGAAATGCTTTACATAATAATATAGGCCTATTAAAACAAATCAAAGTGTCCCTTGTTAAAACCCTTGAATACGTTAAGTGACTCTCCCAGGAAGCTGGTTATTAAGTTTAGAGAGAGGTATGTTTCAAAAACAATTGTGGTTTTGGCTATTAGCATAAACCAATTGGAATTGAATAGATAAAATAATGACTAAGTTTTTGAGAGAGCTGTATGGGCTAAGAGCCAAGAGCCTGGGATTATAAGTCTCTATGACCGTTCAACACTTAAAATGATTTTTGAGGTCCCAATCTTCCATGGGCACAAGCCACTATCAGGATAAGCTATACAAGCCCCAAGAAGGGCATATTTTCCAATACCCTCATCAGATGAGTACAAGGAGTAGAAAAGGCTAGATCTCCCAGAGAGTGAAGCTGGGAATCATGCTTGAAATCTCTGCAGCGAAATCAAGAGCAATATCCAGGAAGCAGAACTGGGGTCTAAACAATGAATATTCCTCACCCCAAGGTCTATCCAACAGGATTTCAGAACTGCTCTGAGCTTTCGATGGCCGTGTGTCTCCCAGGCTTTGCTTTCTGGATGGGGATGCTTTTGGTGGCTAACCTGACCCTATTCCAGCATTCTATGTTGAGTGTGTCTGAGAAGCGTAATTTGTCTTTTTAGTTCATATGTCTCCAGATCAAGAGGAGCCACGCTCAGATTTGATGTATACGATGAGATTCTAGATCTTGAATCTCCTGTTGTAATAGGATGGGACTTTTGAGTGTCTCCGTTGGGGAGGGGATGGGTATGTTTTGTGATTGAAGGGAGGGAAATAAATATTTATGGGCAAGAATGCGGGCTGTAACATGTTATATTTTTTCCAAGTATTTCTTTCCCTCCCTGTGAGAGAATTATATCTCCCTGCCCATTGACATCAGGCTTTGGTGAATTAAATGAGAGAGGAAGTGACATAGGAAAGTGATGAAAGTCCAGGGAAGAGTCTCACAGCCATCATGTACTCTGCCATTTCTCTTTTTCTTCTGCCACAAGAACACTTACACCAAACAGGGGCTGCTCCTTCATCCTGGGTCCTGGAATGAATTGAACTTGGGGTCAACCCATGAAGGGCATGGAATTGGAGTGAGAAATAAACCCTTGTTGTTAACCACTAAGACTTTGGGATTTCTACAGTATAACGTAGCCAAGAATGAAGACAGAAATAAATGTTTTAAGTTAGTCTGAACCAGGATGAAAGAAAGTTTTAGACATATTTCTTTCCCTGCTTTCTTTGTAAAGCAATTCCTTCCTTACTTTAAGTATTAAATTGAGTTACTGAAACTTGCTGGAATTCTAAAGGACTCAAGTTCAAAGACATTTATGTGAGTAAGAGCAACTGAAGGGGGGTGTGTACAGTGGATTTGTTTTCTGCATCACAGTTGCTTGCCTAGAAAAGTGAATTTTGAGATATAGTCAGGGTTGAGCTACCGTATAATCCCCCTTTCGATTTGAGAGGGGAACTTGTAGCAGCCTGGGTGCTGGGAGAAGGCTGACAAGATGCATGGTGAGGGTGGTGGACCTCACAGATGAGAAAATTGGGACCCCCTTCCCTGCCACGGTCAGAGATGAAGTGTGACGAAATCAAAGAGATTCTGAGAAAAGGAGTAACCATTTTCTAGAAGACCGATTGAAGGACTGGAGTGCTTGGAAAAATGAACCAGCTGAGAATTTGCTGAAATTAGGCGAAAAGAATTGGCCAGGGGCTGTGAGAAGGGAAGGAAAGATGCAGATTCCAGAAATCTATAGTGTTCCTTCTATTTGGCTATCTGGGTCATGTTGTAATATTAGGATACCGATATTTAAACAAAATTAGTTGAGTAGAATTCCAGATGTTTTCTATATTGTCAGAATAGATCTCTTTTACAAGTTTGAAAGAAATTACTATAAAACAATATGGACATAATGCCAGCAAGTATTTCTTCCATGCTTATCAATCCATTTAGCTTTTAATTTTCTTGAGTCAACTTTGCAATCTTGTATTTTTTCAGAAAACCAGCCAAAAGGTTTTCATTATTATTAGCATGTAACTATACACAGTAGTCCCACAATTTTAAAGTTCTCTCAATACATTTTATATCCCATTTTGTATTTATAATCCTATTAGTTTTTATTTCTTCTAGGTTTGATTTTTTGTTGTTTTATTCTGTTTCTAATGGATCCTGGTTAAAGAATGCAGCCTGTACAACTCCTATTTTTAGGAACCTAAGGAGTTTTCCAGCATAGTGGAATCTCTGTAGGGTCAATTATACAAATATATTTATCTTTATTCATTATATTATGTAGCCTTATAATTGTAATCTGTATGTTCTATAACCTTATTTTTTTGGACTATTTGATTTGTCAGGGACCTTGAGTAACATTAAAGTCTGTGAAGAGAATTCTATCTCCATAAATTTTTCTTATAGTCCTCATATTTCTTAAATGAGGATATTCTTTAGCGCCAAAAGAATGATTTCCTAAATCAACATATATTTATTGAGGCTGACTCCATGCCAAACACTGAGATGGAGCTACAAAGGTGAGCAAGACATAGATCCTGCTCTCAAAAGATAAGCAAATGGGCAATTTTAATTTGGTGTGATATGTGCTGTGACAAGGGAAGCACAGGATGGCTTAGAAACCCCTGGGAAAGGGGCAGGGGGTCCTAGAAGGCTTCCTGGAGAATAGGCATGTAACCTAACACCTGGGAAAAAGAGTTTTTCAGGTGAGTGGAGTGGGGTGGGAGGAGGGCGAGGAGAAGGGAAGGGAGAAGGGCATGTCGGCCAGAGGGAACACCATACCAAGGCCTAGGGTGGGAAAGCTCCACACCTTCACGGAATGGCCATATGTTGAATTCTTTGGAGGACTAGAGCAGGAGGAAAATGTGGTAGGGATGAGTGAGAGCTGTAAACGGGATGCCTATCAATAAAGGCCTCTATGCCATGGTGAGGAGCTTGGTTGTCTTTGCTTTTTGGTTTTTACTTTTTTTGTTGTGGTAAAATTCACCCCATTTTATCCATTTTTAAGCATACAGTTCAGTGTCATTAAGTACATTCATAGTGTTGTGCAACCATCACCACCATCTATCTCCAGAACTTTTTCATCTTCCCAAACTGAAACTCTGTATCCATTAAGCACTATATTCCCATTCCTTCCTCCCCAAACCCGGGCAACCACCATTCTACTTTCTATAGAAAGTCAAACAACACATAGCTGACATCATACACAACGGTGAAAAACTGAAAGTGATCCCTCTAAGAACAGCAATTCCTTTAAGAACAGGAACAAGAGAAGGATGCTCACTCTCATCACTCTTATTCAACATAGTATTGGAAGTCCTGGCCAGAGCAATTAGGCAAGAAAGAGAAATAAAAGAGATCCAAGTTGGAAAAGAAGTAAAACTGTCCCTATTTGTGGATGACATGATTTTATATATAGAAAGTCCTATAGAATCCACCAAAAAACTATTAGAAATAATTAACAAACACAATAAAGTTGCAGGCTACAAAATCAACATACTAAAATCAGTTGCATTTCTATAATGAACTAGCAGAAAGAGAAATCAAGAATATAATCCCATTTACAACTGCAATAATAAGAATACAATACCTAGAAATAAATTTAACCAAGGAGATGAGAAACACATACCCTGAAAACTATAAAACATTATTGAAAGAAATTGAAGAAGACATAAAGAATTGGAAAGATATTCTGTGCTCATGGATTGGAAGAATTAACATAGTTAAAATGTCCATAATAT